TCAGAGACTGAGAGAAACCTCCCGGAACACAGGGTCAGAGACTGAGACAGAAACCTCCCAGATCACAGGGTCAGAGACTGAGACAGAAACCTCCCAGATCAAAGGGTCAGAGACTGAGACAGAAACCTCCCGGAACACAGGGTCAGTGAGAAGTAACACAGGATTAGTAAAATAAATTTGTCAGAACACAGGAACAGACTGTGGGAAATCTGTCAACACAGCATTGGTAAAATAAATCGCAGAGTACAAGGTCGGAGAATCAAATCTTCTATAGTACAGAGATAGAAAGCGTTATCTGCTGGAACACATAGGACATATGAGAATCCCAGAAATACAAGGTGAGAGAGATTTCTATACACTTTGGAAAGAACTATTTAGAGGACTCAGATTAAGAACCGGATTCCAAAAGAAAGAAATAATTTTCTCCAGCATCATCACGAAGCAAATACCTCCCAGGGCGGAGTTATCCAGTTTTCCAAAGACGCACAGAATCCTTGCCAGACAGTAATAACCACTGCTGCTCTCAGCCTGACAACCAGCCACAACTTCACCGGTCTCATCTATGATCCCACCCCATTGCCGATAACTCCTCTCTGTTCGTCGCTGTATATTTGAAGAAGTGGGGGGAAAAAGACGATCACAGGGAAGGTCTGTTTGGTTCCAAAGGTTAACTTTCCCCAAAACCCACAGGAGGTCCTCTCGGTGTTGTTCCTTTTCCCAGTCCGCAGCCTCTGACAATGTGTAAGGCACATCTGCGGTGAAAGGTGCTGGTGAGCGCCTCTCGCCCCGGGTTCTATCTGTGTCTGTTTTCCACTTAATATTTGAATATGTTCGTTTCACAAGTAAGGAACATCACTCACCTTCTTCTCATTGGATCAAAGTTGCATCACATGATTTAAAAAAAAAGTTTCTCAACCGGCCCCGCCTTTTCAGGAACAAAAGTGTGGCCGGAATAACAGGAAATCCGGACTCAGTGTTTTTTGTAGGAGATGTGTGTGTCTGTGCGTGGGTGTATATGTGTGTGTGCGTGTCTGTGTCTGTGTGTGTGTGCATGTGTGAGTGTGTGTGTGCGCGCTGGGGGCGGGGAGGAGGAACACGTTTGTGGCCGCATCCGTCTGCGCAATGTACAGGTCCAGATCAGGTCGCTAATCACTTCGACTGATCATTGCTTTATATTCAAGTTGCATGATTTGGTTAATAAACCATCAGAGTTTTACTAAATTACAGCGGAGTTCCTGCGAAAGGCTAGGGACCTGAAAGGTTAACCGTTTTCCCAGTTACAAATGCGCCATTCCTGCTCAATATTTTCATCAGAATTTATGATTTTCATCATAAATCATAGTCCTTTGCAAAATGTTTAATTATTCATAGTCATTCAGTAAGGAAACAGACAATTCGATCAAACCAGTCCATGCCGAACATAATCCCAAACTAAACTAGTCCCACCTGCCTGCTCCTGGCCCATTATCTCTCCAAACTTTTCCTATTCATATGCTTATCTACGTGACTTTTAAACGTTGTAACTGTGCCCACATTGCACATAACAGCCACCTTTTAAAAAAACCCCTTATGTCTTTTTTTTTATAAATCTGACTCCTCTCACCTTAAAAATATGGCCCCTAGTCTTGAAATGCCCTATCACAGGGAAATGTTACCTACCATTAAGCCTATCTATATCCCTCATGATTTTATAGACCTCTATAAAGTCACCCTGTCAACGTCTTACGCTCCTGTTAAAACATCCTAGCCTATGCAGCCTTCTTTTTATAACTCTACCCTTCCATACCCAGCAAAATGGTGCTGGGAAAATTGTTGGGATTGAAGGCCAATAAATCCCCAGGGCCTGATAATCTACATCCTAGAGTGCATAAGGAAGTAGCTCTAGAAATAGTGGATGTATTAGTTGTCATCTTCCAGGATTATATAGACTCTGGAACAGTCCCTGCAGATTGAAGGGTGGCTAATGTCACTCCAATATTCAAAAAGGGAGGTAGAGAGAAAACAGGGAATTATAGACCGGTGAGCCTAACATTGGTAGTGGGGAAAATTCTTGAATCCATTGTCAAAGATTTCATTGCAGAGCATTTAGAAAGCAGTGGCAGGATCAGATAGAGTCAGCATGGATTTATGAAGGGAAAATCATGTTTGACAAATCTGTTAAAATTCTATGAAATGTAACTAGTGGAGTTGACAAGGGGGAGCCAGTCGATGCAGTATATTTGGACTTTCAGAAAGCATTTGACAAAGTCCACATAAGAGATTAATGTGCAAGATTAAAGTGCATGGGATTGGGGGAAGTGTATTGAGATGGATAGGAAACTGGTTGGCAGAGAGGAAACAAAGAGTAGGAATTAATGAGTCATTTTCAAAATGGCAGGCAGTAACTAGTAGGGTGCCACAGGGATCAGTGCTGGGACCCCAGCTATTCACAATATATATCAATGATTTGGATGAGGGAACAGTGTGCAATTTTGGTATCCTTTCTGAGAAAGGATGCTCTTGCTGTCAAGGGAGTACAGCGAAGGTTTACCAGGCTGATTCCAGGGATGGCAGGTCTGACATATGAGGAGAGATTGACTAGGTCACCAGAGTTCAGATGAACGAGGGGGATCTCATAGAGACTTATAGAAATCCTAACAAGACTACACAGGGTGGATGCAGGAAGGATGTTCCCACTGGTGTGTGTGTCTAGAACCAGGGGTCACAGTATGAGGATTCGGGGTAGACCATTTAGGATTGAGATGAAGAGACATTTCTTCACCCAAAGAGTGGTGAGCCTGTGAAATTCGTTACCACAGGAATTAGTTAATTTCAAAACATTGAATGTATTCAATAGATGACTAGATATAGCATTTGGGGCAAATGGGATCAAAGGTTATGGGGAGAAAGCAGTTTTAAGCTATTGAATTTGATGATCAGCCATGATCGTGAAGAACAGCAGAGCAGATCAAAGAGCTGAATGGCCTACTCCTGCTCCTATCTTCTATGTTTCTATGTAACATCCCGGTAAATCTCTTCTGTACCCTCTCTGGCTTAATAATATCCTTTGTATAATAGGGAGATCAGAACTTGACACAGTACTCCAGAAGAGAATGTCCTGTACAACCTCAAAATGACTTCCCAACTTCTATACTCAAACACTGAGCAATGAGGCAAGCTGACACATGCTGAGCTTTTACAGCAATTTCTATTTTTGTTTCTGATTTACAGCATCTGCAGTTCTTTGAATTTTTTACTTGACAAATTCTTCATCATTTAAACCTTTAACACTGTGGTAGCTCCAGTCAATGGTTGGAAAATTAAAATCTATTATTACAACCTTATTATGTTTACATATATCTGAGATCTCTCCACATATTTGTTTCTCAATTTCTCTCTTACTTTTGGTGTATTATAGTACAATCCCATCAAGATAGGATAAGCAAAGTTTTAGTGGTAATATCGCTAGACTATTAATTCAGAAACCCAGCTGATGGGTTCTGGGGACCCGGTTTCGGGTCCCACCATGGCATATGGTGGAATTTGAGTTCAATAATTAACAAAAAAGTCTGGAATTAAGAATCTACTGATCGTCATGAAATCATTGCCGATTGCCGGAAAAACTCATCTGCTTCACTAATGTCCTCCAAGGAAGGAAATCTGCCATCTTCACTTGGTCTGGCTTACATGTGATTCCAGACCCACAGCAATGTGGTTGACTCTCAACTGCCCTCTGAAATGGCCGAGCAAGCCTTTTGTTGTACCAATCACTACAAAGTCTTAAAGAAATGAAACTGGACGGATCACCTGGCATTGACCCAAGCACCGAAAAAGACAACAGCAGAAATAGCCCTGTTGACCCTGCAAAGTCCTTCTCACAAACATCCGGGAGTTAGAGCCAAATTTGGGAGAACTGTCTCACAGACTAGTTAAGCAACAACCTGACATAGTCATACTCACAGAATCATACCTTACAGACAATGTCACAGACACCACCATCACCATCCCTGGATATGTCCTGCCCCATCAGCAGGACAGACCCAGCAGAGGGGGCGGCACAGTGATATACAGTCGGGAGGGTTTTGCTCTGGGAGTCCTCAACATTGACTCCAGAACCCATGAAGTCTCATGGCTTCAGGTTAAACATGGGCTAGGAAACTTCCTACTGATTACCACATACCATCCTCCCTCAGCTGATGAATCAGTACTCCTCCATGTTCAGCAACACTTAGAGGAAACACTGAGGATGACAAGGGCACAAAATATACTCTGGGTGGGGGATTTCAGTGTCCACCACCAAGAGTGGCTCGGCAGCAGTGTCACTGATCGAGCTGGTCGGGTCCTAAAGGACACAGCTGCTAGACTGGGTCTGCAGCAGGTGGTGAGGGAACCAACAAGAGGGAAAAACATATTTGACCTCATCCTTACCAATCTGCCAGCTGCAGTTGCATCTGTCCACGACACTATCGGTAAGAGTGACCATCACACAGTTCTTGTGGAGACAAAGTCCTGCCTTCACATTGAGAACAACCTCCATCGTGTTGTGTGGCACTATCACCGTGCTAAATGGGACAGACTTCGCACAGATGTAGCAACTCAAGACTGGGCATCCATGAGGCGCTGTGGGCCATCAACAGCAGCAGAATTGTACTCCAGCACAATCTATAACCTCATGGCCTGGCATATCCCCCACTCAACCATTACCATCAAGCCAGGGGATCAACCCTGGTTCAATGGAGAGTGCAGGAGGGCATGCCAGGAGCAGCACCAGGCATACCTGAAGATGAGATATCAACCTGGTAAAGCCACTAAACAGGACTATTTGCATGCCTAACAGTGAAATCAGCAAGTGATAGTCAGAGCTAAGCGATCCCACAACCAACGGATCAGATCTAAACTCTGAAATCCTGCCACATCCAGTCGTGAATGGTGGTTGACGATTAAACAACTCACTGCAAGAGGAGGCTCCACAAATATCCCCATCCTCAATGATGAAAGAGCCCAGCACATCAGTGCAAAAGATAAGGCTAAAGCATTTGCAGCACTCTTCAGCCAGAAGTGCCGAGTGGATGATCCATTTCGGCCTCCTCCAGTGGTCCCCAGCATTACAGATACCCATCTTCAGCCAATTCGATTCACTCCATGTGATATCAAGAAACGGCTGGAGACACCACATACTGCAAAGGCTACCGGTCCTGACAAATTTCCGGCAATAGTACTGAAAACTTGTGCTCCAGAACTTGCTGCTCCCCTAGCCAAGCTGTTCCATACAGTTACAACACTGGTGTCTCCCTGACAATGTGGAAGATTGCCCAAGTATGTCCTGTACACAAAAAGCAGGCCAACCCAACCCAGTCAATTACCGCCCCATCAGTCTCCTCTCGATCATCAGTGAAGTGATGGAAGGTGTCATCAACAGTGCTTTCAAGCAGCACCTGCTGAGAAATAATCTGCTCAGCAATGCCCAGTTTGGGTTCTGCCAGGGCCACTCAGCTCCTGACCTCATTACAGCCTTGGTTCAAACATGGACAAAAGAGCTGATTTCCAGAGGTGAGGTGAGAGTGACAGCCCTTGATATCAAGGCTGCATTCAACCAAGTGTGGCCTCAAGGAACCCTAGCAAAACTGGAATCAATGGGTATCAGGGGGCAAACACTCCAGTGTTTGGAGTCATACCTGACACATAGGAAGATGGTCGTGGTTGTTGGTAGTCAATGATCTCAGCTCCGGGACATTTCTGCAGGAGTTCGTCAGGGTAGTGTCCTAGGCCCAACCATCTTCAGCTGCTTCCTCAATGACCTTCCCTCCATCATAAGGTCAGAAGTGGGGATGTTC